ACGCAACGTCGAGAAGGGCTTCCCCTGCACTCAGAAGGGCTTTTTGTGCACTCGTATGTCAACACCTGAGGCTGCAGGTACGGGCCTGGGGTTGGCTTCATGAGACCATTCTGTTGTCAGGTCCCGAGCTGCTGACCCCATCTTGAGGGTGTAGCTGCACGTAAACACGTGCTGGAACGTGATTGGTCATCACAGCCCCGACAAAGGGACAAACACTCCGCTTAATCCACTACCACTCCTACTGCTTTTCTTTTGCAACGGGTTTTTGCTTGACTGACATAGCCTGAAGCTAGTCGATGGCCGTGATCGTTTTTCTTGCGTAGGCAAGCGTATTCTTGTAGAGGGTGAGGGGGATCCTCAGCACGCCTGACCGAAGCAACAGCGCCTCGGTTGCGGAGAGGATTATGTGTCTCTGTTTGTGTGTGCGTGGGTAAGTGTCTGTGAGTGTGTGTTTAAGTGGTTTGTTCAGCTCTTCGGCATCGTGGCTTGTTGGGTTGTTAGTGTTTGGGCGTTGAGTGTTTGAAGAACCCTGAAAGCACCCGCTTGCATTCAACAGTTGGCTTTCGAGGATAAACGGGGGGAATGGGGTGAAGATGTATGTGTTATTTTCCTTTCTGTGAGGCAACCATGAGCAGAGCGATGCAATTACGGTTTGACGTGTCTTGAAGGTGCTTCTGTTAGAGAGCCATCTGCCCTGGGTCAGTCAGGATCGCGGCACTGTGTAGTTCGATCTTGGGACAGAGCTTCACTCACGTTATATAGCGCACATGCAAGGCGAACGCCCGACTCGAGCATGCAGCCTTAATGCTTATCGCGACGGCATGCAAATCTCTACGAAAAAGAGTAGCGGCTATGGTTTCCGAAAGAGATTCGGGAACGGCGCAAAAGACAGAATCCCCAACACTCTGCTTCCAAACATTCTAGTCTAGGTTCTTCGGCATTGTAAGCCTAGAAACAAGAAGAGCACCGAATCGGAAGCAAACGGTAAACAATATCCAAAACACTTCAACGTAATTATGCCGTATCCCCCTGTCTGTCTGCTACAACCTGCAAGCTGTAACTCTAAACTGTGCGACCCACCAACTCCCCCCCTTCGTTTGTTTGTAGACTTGCTCTCCACAGGTGCAAGCCATACAAAGTGCCCAGCCCATGCCGGAAGACTCTTGTTTCAAACTTCAAGCCAAAGTGGACCGGAAAACCCCCCTAATGCCACACCTCAACCTCACAGACGCCGCAACAGAAACTCCCCCAAAGACGCCTTCGCCAGACCCTGAACCCTCAGGATCCATGTGCCCAGCGAGGCGCGACTCGAACTCAGGCTTTTTGGGGCGGAGGGCTTTGAGATCTTTTTGGGGATTGGTTTTGGATGCAATGCAGGGTGTTCCCGCACTTAATTTAATAAGCGTGAGGAAGATCAACATAGTACTAGTTGAACCGTACTGAGTGAGGGTCAAAGGAATTCGAAGGATACTCATTGTTCGGCTCAGAACCGTCAGAACCGCAGCAACATCAGGAGAGTGTGCGAATTCATAACAGCATTTGCAGCGATGATAGAGCGGGAAATGTTCATACGGGCCGTTCGTATCCAGGTTGGGCGATGCAGTACTTGAAGTGCTGGTTTACATTATTGCTTGTATTTGCCAGCGCCCAGTTCTTCAGTTCATTTTCCCGAGCAGCCCGAGACTCTGTCAGAGCCCTTGCAGAATCAGATAGAGCCTGGTTTGAGCCATGATTAAGTTTGACCCCGACATCGTCTGCGGGTCAGAGCTCGCACCTGTCAGCTGACTTCGTGCAGGCCCCAAGCCCCTCTCTAGCTTCAAAACTCAAAATTAAAAGCGTAAACCTTCTCGCAAGTCCGAATGTGAGAGCGGCAACTTCTTGCTCTCCTGCTTCTCGAGCATTCCAGGCGGCGGCGTGCAGACCGCAGTGGCCGCCCGCCAGGCCGCCGCCGCAGCCTTGGGTCGAAGTATTGCGGTTCTGGGATTGCTTCGGGGTTTCGCAGTGCTTTTCGGGGTTTGGGCTCTTCTTGGGTGTATGCCTGAACGGCTTAGGGGCCAGAACATGATCCTCGACGGCGATCTTCAAATTCCCTTATTCCCCCCATGCGATCCTCACCCCAGTCACGGCATTAAAGCTGCAATGCCCAACTAGTGACATGTTTTCAAGTCGCTGCAAATCTTGTCACCCGTATTCCCGAAATCCTCATCAGATGTTCACGGTAATCCACCTTCGTTTCCTGAACCCCAAGCATCCCAGTCAGATGCTGAAACCTTTAACGAAGCGAATACATGTTGTTGGAGTTGAGTGTGCCCCTACACTCTTCATGGTCCGTTATTGGCGGCCGTATAAACATCATGTATCATGATCCTTAGAACAGGAACCGTGCTTGATGATACCCTGTACCAGCAGGGTCGGGCCTAATGTAGGGGCCTGAATAATTACCAATATTATTTTCGGGGGGGTTCCTTATTACAATTACCGTATAATGGGCCCCAAAACCGTTTTCTAATTATTAAGGCCCCTATATTACCTTCTCAAGATTGTTCCTGAAAGAGAAGAAGTTTAGTGTTTCGGCCGGACCGTCGAGTCAATGCTTGAACTCATAGTTGATAGGTTTCCACACGTTTGATATCTTCGGGCGCTACGGCAATGCAGCTCTAGGATTCAGGTGCGTACGATAATGAGTCCTTCAGCCTCGGTAGATACTCTGCATGTGGTCAGTATTTGGATCTATTATTATTGGTCAACCGTTCGGGGTTTACTTGTGAAAACCTGAAATGAGCAGTCAAGCTTCCGAGCCTCACTTTTCCTTGCTGCCGAAGAAGCGCGACTCACACCAACAGATGACCACGATTCAACCTGATAGCCTTTCTAAGTGTGGCCACCAACGAAAGAAAGTCCTTCACAAGCTCATTGGAGTTCTGGGAAGTTTTGGAGAAGTTCGGAATTCGGAACCATCGGGAGTAAACAGGTCCTCAGAAAGACGTATCTTTGCAGGACAAGGCTTTCGGGTGCGGGTGATGAGGCTCGAGGTCTTACTGCACAGGAGATTATTTTCTTTGTTTTGGCAGGCGGCTCCGTCGATAGTTCGATCAAAGCTCTCGTGCAGAAGGCCGAGTCTGCATAAGGTTACACAGGCAGCACCATTGCGCCAGGTCGTGCCTCCTGCGGGGACTTGGAAAGGCATTCGCGAGTTCGGCATCGTTGGAAAAAGTTCGGCAGCACGAGGTTCCGGAATTTGGATGTAGGAGGTTTGGGATTTGGAGTCACCGGGGCCCAATGTTACATCTCAGAGTTCGATCTCTGTGTTCCCCAACGTTCGATGTCTTTCGGCCGTCATGGTTGGGCTCCGCTCGGGTGTTAGCCATGGCACCGCAAAGCAGATTTCGAAGTGACAGCACTAGGCAGGCAGGCCACTACGTTCTTGATTAAGTTGGTATTCGGGTTCATTCATTCGGTTGACAGTCGCTATGCGAAAAGACCTTGCAGATCAGTGCCGTGTTCTCTTGGCCGTGTTGCGCCACCTTTACTAGTAGTCATAGATAATATGGTCTTTGTGTACAGGGTCATGCACAGGAAGTCACAGGTAGTCTTGTTGAGTGGTATTCGAGTATTCGTGTGTTTCAGTGTCAAACGGTAGACAAGATCCGGCAAGTGGTCACGATTGCCACAGGCGGTTGTTGCGTACCCCTAGAAGCCCTTTCCTGTTTTTTGGCGCTAATGTGGAGGAAGAAGAGTAGTGCAGTAAAGTAGGTGCTCGTAGTCAACAAGCTGCTTGTGCTGGAGCCATGTTTCGAAGCATTGCAGCCCCCCACCCCTTCGTAGCATGTCTCTTCGAGAAGATGCGAGGGGGGGGAATGTCATGCCCGCATCAAGCTTGTTTGGGTCCATTCCAAGAACACCACTCAAGCAAAGCGACCCCTGATCGAAATCTATTGTCCGAATTGTTGTATGGTGTTGGTATGTGGTTGGTGCGTGTCAAGAGAGTCTGCACCGGCAAACCAAATTGTCATGTCCGAAGAAGAACCCAGAACTTGGATGAATAATCGTGTTCTCCAATCTTCTTTGCTGCACAGCTCACCAATTCAATGGCTGTTCTCCGCTGGAGTTGGTTGAGGGATCAAGCCAGTCAACCTGTAGATGTTCTATGTCAGGTTGCGAAGCCTGCAGACGGATGACAGGGTAAATTATGGTGTCGCGTGTTGTAGTCTTCTTCCGAGCCCTTGCTCGCATGCCTGACAATATCCAGCAAACCTGGCAAAGGAACTCGTGTGTAGCCCTCCCTGGGAACCCCCATGCTTCATCCTTGACGTTGGCACCTGATGTTCAGCTGCCCGGGCGTGCAGCCGCCTTTGCCGCGCCAGGGCGGCTTACAAACTTCAGCATCAGCTACCCTTTCTAAAGGTCTTCATAATGAGGCTCTCCTGATATTTGCGAGTCTAATTGCACAGAATTTTGTTGTCTTCTGATTTCATCCATCGGCTGGTGGCAAAAGTGCAAAAGGTGTGGAACTGTGCAGGTTTTACGACCACATCCCTACCTTTCTTCACGGACCGTGTAGTGTTTGTAATTTAGGATCTGCTTGCTTCTCGTTGGATGGAATCCTCTATGCACCGAAGCTGAGACCCGAAGTAGTTGGACCTCACTGGCCTCGGAGCCTGAACCTTATGCGTTACTTGGAGGATCATGGGACTTAGTAAGAAAGGTTATAAGTCCCCTAATTGGGGTTATAAGTATAGTTACCATGGTTATAACCCTATTTACTAAGTCCCATGATCCTTTAAGTAGATGTGAGCGTAGAGATGAAAAGAGAGCTCCCATCAGCAAGTTCCAGCACGTCATGGATTCCACAGCCCCCAGGTCTATTTGCCTGGACCTGTGAGGGCTTCTTCACCCCAACCACAAGATCTCTGCAGCAGCCGTGATTCCACCCAAGCCCCGCTCACTAGGTTATCCTGGTGTTTTGCCGTTTTGGGCTTTCCATACCTTCTTCTCAAGCAATGAAGCTATATCCGTGGTGGGCCGTGGTGTGGTGCCGGGCTCAGATGCGGCTTCAAGGGCTTAGTTCTTTGATGTTGCTGGTGAGTTCAAGCCTCCACTCCGAGGGCGATGCTGCCTGCTGCAGCCATGAAGCTGGCGCAGGTGCCCTCAGTGCCCTGCACCACTTTCGAAGCAAAATCACACATACTAACTCATTTTGCCATACGCCGACTGCCACATGGCATATGCAGACATCGCAGACGGGCATCCTTGCAGGAGTTGGACGACTCCGCGATGAACCTCCAGACGGACTCTGTATCGAGTGGCTTGCTCGCTCGCGCATCCACTGCTCTGGCTTCGGACGACGGCATGAACACTTCCAGGGACGGGTCTCTCGACACTGTGGCGGCCAAGAAGAATCCGTTCAAGTTCGTGGGAAGTATCGCGAACACTGTCAAAGATGCTGGCAGAGTGGTGGCAGATGCAGGCGCCTGCCCTACTGGCCCTAGTAGATCCGTAGATACCCATAGAGTGCCCAGGCCTGGAGATGGGCAAAGCCGCCGCCAACAGAGCTGTCGTGATCGGGAACGGGATTTTGGAATCGCCACGGCAAAGCTTACAGGAGGTGGGCGATGTCCTGCTGCCAGACGTGGTGGTGGTGGGTCCCGCTTTGGAGGCCATGGGCCATGGATTTCCATCGTGATGTGGCAGACACGACCCCTCCCTTCTAAATGCCTTGAGGTGCGTAACGTGTTTGACGCGGTCCGAGATCCGGGTCAGATTGTTGTGGCTGCCACGGTGGACTTGGGAAGACGCTTGCCTGCACCCCTCGCCTCACGGTCCTACGAACAGATGGAGGGAGCAGTTTCGGGATTTGGACGACAGGCGGCATCGTGGATGAGGTGCGGCAATCGCTGCAGGATGCTGCTAACCGCGGCCTGGTACTGGCCGATCAGGTTGGGCATGATGGAGGGTTGAGTTTCACTCAAAGTGCAAAGCTGGGGCCTCTGTCTACGTTCCAGATTGAGTAAGGCCACTCCTTAGAATCAATGTCCCAAGGATGCATTCAAGAGGCAGCGCGGTTGCTGAGAGTTCTCGCTGGTGAAAGCCTTCGGAATTTGCTGCAGATACAGCTTGCAAGCGTTTCGCTCTGGTCATGCAGCAGGGTTTCTTCCGGAAGTCTGCTTGAGCAGTCCGAGACCCCGACGCCAGACAGGTGGGTGGAGTCCTCCAACCTTTCGTTGGAACGGCCCTTGACGCGGTGGGACCTTTGGCGGCGGGTTTGCCAGGAGATGTTTCTCGGACACAAGGAATTGAGTTTGCATGCTCCAAGTAGCCAGAGGATGCGGATCACTATCGTTTTGGGTCTCGATTGCATGTTGCTGTTGCCGGTTCATCGGTCTGGCACCGAGAATTGAACAATCCTATCTTTTTCTTGAGCCTTTGCCGCGTGTCTGTTTGACGGTGCCTGTAAGCTTGCGAGCTGATGTGCACACCCACCTCGCGAAAATCCCGTCGGCACTTCTGCTGGAGATGTCCGACTTTTTGCTATATAGATCTGTGGGACGGCCGCACTGAAGACTGTCTACATCTTTCCAGGGCAGGCGAGACACAAAAACTGTTTCCATGACTGTCAAGTGCTGGGGTCGCGGTAACAGAGTCGCAGATCTCAGAAGTGGGCACACGCACCGTAGATGGTCAGAGTCTTCCGCAAACCTGCAAACTCTCCGAGGATTGGAACCGACTGAGGGGCTTCGTCGACTGCCTCCAAGATACTGATGGCGGCGGCCGTCGGCCGCTGTGTGAGATGCTGATTGGACGCGATTGCGATTGCAGCGGCGGAAGCTACGTGAGGCCGTCTACAGGTGGTGTGCAGATGAAGTGCATCTTCAAGGCCACCTCCGTCTTTGCCAAGGGCTACGGCATCCGGGCTACAGGCTCTGTAGACAGCTCGGGAGAAACCACTCTCGACGCCAACGTCCTTCCAGGAGAGGAGTTCGAGCAGGCCCACAGAATGCACAACCAGGCTCTAAGGCTGCGGGAGACTGTCAGGCAGAACCAGGGGACCATGAGAGACGTGCAAAGGGACCTGGCCAGAGGCAGACAAAGGAGTCTGTCAGAGCTTTGGCCGCACAAAATGCAAGCTTTGCTGCCGAGTTGTGAGCCCCCCCTCCCCCCTTTCCCGGCGCGCTGAAGCCCTGATCCTCCGAGTGAGGATTACCAGAAACGGCAGCCTGCAGGATCTTGTGAGGGTTCACTCAGCGTCGCCGTGGATGGGGTGATACAGTGGACCTCCCCAGAGGCTACTGCACCAGTGGGGACTGGGGCTTTAGCAACTGGGTGTAGGTGTCGTCAAGACTCACCAAAGGAGGGACCCTTAAAAAGGGACCCTTGGGGCTATATAGGGGCTTTGGGACTATATAAGGGTTATATAGGGTATTTGGATTAGGGGTCCCTTCTAGGGGTCCCTCCTATTGTCCCTTAAACGACTCATGCTTGGAGGTTGAATTAGACGCCACGGCTGAGACCACAACGTTCACCGTCCGTGGTATGGTGAGGGCGTCGATGGATGCGCTGGTCACGGCAGAGGGTAGCTGCTCCTACAAGGCCTCAAAGGGATTTCCCAAGAATCCCAAAACCAAGACATTCTGTGCCAAGGCATTTTGCAACCTGCATGAATGTGAGCAGCCTTTGTCTTGCATGTGGTGACTTGCCCCTACTCTTCATCTGGGCTTGGAATTCTTTAGCTGAACTCACAGGGAACACGACAACTGCAGCCGCTTCTGATCCCAGGTATCGTTCTGGCATTGCAGATGGTTGCGACGCTGGAGGTGTCGGGCACCCTTACCGGGACGGTCGAGACTTCGCACGACGCAGATTTCCTGGTTGTGGCCACAGGGAGTGTCAGAAGGGACGGCTCCTTTGTCATAGTTGGGTAACATTTTACATTTTTAAGGGTACTTAAACCCAATAAGGAATATAGATTTAAATTTTTAAGGGTACTTAAACCCAATAAGGAATATAGAATTTAAATTTTTAAGGGTACTTAAACCCAATAAGGAATATAGAGTTTAAATTTATAATACTACCCCAACCATGAACAAGGCTTGGGGAAGGCCCGTGATGTTCAAGTTGAAGTGAGCAGTCCGCAGCTTCAGCACCAGGCCCCCGCCCCGCCCCACCATGGCCCCCACCATGGGAGCTTCCAAAAATTAGGGTTTAGGGTTTAGGGTTTAGAGCAGCAGTGGTTCAAAATGGCTCATTCCGAAAATTAGGGGTACCTCTTTTGGGGTCCTTATAATACGGGTCCTACTATTTAGGGTAGTATATTAGGGTCCCCTATTTTCGGAAACTCCCACATCCCAGCTCAGAGAGTGCCAGGAAGGATGGGCGGTCGGGGTCAGCGCTTCAGCTTCCGTGAAACTGAGCGCGGGGCCTCAGCTGGTGGCCCCGGGCTCAGTGTCCGGCATAGGATTCAAAATTGCTGTTGCTTTGAAATGGCACGCAGCTCGGGGGTGAAACTGAGGCTTCGTGAGTTTGTGCGGATCCCACCCTGAGCCACGGCAGGTTTGGCCTATGCCGGGAGTCCCCATCACCTTCCATCCGGCGATCCATGCCGAAGCCAAAGCCATCGGCACGGTCTTTTACCTGCAAGAACCACAGCGCCTCTGGGCCTCGGATAACTTTGTGTGCAATTGATGGTCCGAAAAACTTTTATCGCTATGCGAACCCGCCTCGGCCGACGTGGCAACCTGGGAAGAGCATTTGCAGGGAGAGAGGCGATCCAGGGTGAAGCGTTTGGGGTTTGGCTCACACCGATGGCGAACAGCCGCACTGCATCAACGCAAATTGGATTCAGCAAGTCGAAAGCTCTTAGCAGCACAAAGACACGCCGTAGGGTGTAGAAAAGACAACGAAGTTGACTACATTGGCGGAGAAGAAGGAGAGGGGGAGGGAGAAGCGAGCCAGGAGGAGGAAGGGACGGGAGGGGGCCGCAGGGGCAGAAACAAAACGTTCTTCTCCGGAGCAATGTTCACGGCACTCTACTGTTCTCCAGCGGTGATACAGTTAACCAGCTGCAATGCTACTTGAACCCGCAATGCTAACTTGGTCGCTGAGTGAACCCATCGAATCTGAACTGCTGTCTTAGCTCGTGCTTCTTGAAGTCAAAGTGCCTTTGATCATCAAGTGTCTGTAGCCAGTCGGAGACATTGCGCGAGGTTGTGATGAGGCCTCCGGGGATTCGCCTCGCCATCCCATCGGGGTGTCTTCCATCAATATTACCATACAAGATCTCTCCTACTGGTAGCTGGAATCTGGTGTAGTATGGCAAGTTCTGTTGATTGCACCTCGGCTGGCCCAGGGTTGCGGCATGACCTGTTCATCTTTGTGCGGAGCATTGCGGAGCCAACTCAATGGTGTAAAGTTGCCCATCTCTTAAAACGCCTCGGGTCCCAGCCTGGCATACTGCCCGCATCTGGGCACGCTGAAACATCCACCCATGCATGCATGGGGCGCATGAATGTTCATTTTGTGTTCCCGCCCTCTGTGGCGTAGCAACTAGTTCGCTTGTAAACTAGTGTATCGGGTCTCCGAGAGAACGAGACCCCCACCCCTTTGCGAGCACGTGAGGTGCTACATGCGAGGCATGCCAACTCAGTCCACCCAACAGACTTCTAGCTTGTGATCTCTCTTTTCGGGTGAGCTCGGCTGTGCGGCGGCTGGAAATGATGCCCAATCTCGTGCAACCCATCCAACCAGTGCCACGCGTGTCACCTGGACACCACAACTTTTTAACCACTCAGACACTGTTCTGTACCACTCGACGGGGGCGCCCACCAACCCATTAGCATGCGTGTGGAACCCAGTATAGTAGAGTAGATCGGGATACTAGATGATTTGCTTTGAAAGAAGGCGTGCTTTTTGGATGACGGGAGATGCTCCAGAATTTCAAAAGTTTCGGCGGCCACAATGTTTCGCACCTACTTGCTGCGGGGCTCTCGAAACTGTGGTTGCCCGTCTGTCCGAAATCTCTTCTCACTCATCTCCTCGGCCCGCCTTCGCATTTGATCCTGCCGTACTGTTGAGTACTTCAGCCTGCTTTCCGGCACGCCGATTGCTATCGACGCTGCTGTCTCCTCAGTCCAGTAGCTCTCCTCATCCTGTGTCGTTCACGCGGTTAGAGCTCACGATGGGGAAAAACGGACTGCCCTAATATTTCAGATACCAAGTCTAGACGCCGCAGCTTCGATGGATTACATACCTGTGCAGGCGAACTGCAACAGGCTCTTCTTCCTTGATGTCTAGGGACGCTTCTACTAAATAAGTATCTGGCACATCAGAGGTCCTGGCTGGGCTGGGGGCTGGGCCCTGATCGAGCAGTCTGCGAACACGAGCTCCAACATGACCTCCGTTCGCCAAGAGCTCCAGGAAGGGTTGCTACGTACAATCAATTACCATGCACTTTGGCGCAGAAGTGCTACATGCATGCAACAGCGCTCCATGCGACACGTTACAACAGCCACAAAGCCAGCAAGTGCATGTTGCTTTCATGAGTCCAAGGGACAAGGCAGTGCATGTTGAGAGTTTCGAGCACCCAATTAGCCGTAGGTTGGCCACTCAACTTGTCGCACGCTGATGGCACTTAGGTCCCGAAATGAAAGCATATGATATCATGGACGACAATGGAAACAAATTGTGTCAGCTGCGGAGGCCTGTCAGGCATAGACCAGGCAGCATGTATGTGGAAAAGCCGATTTTGTGCGTAGATGATGGCATCCGAGATCAAGCCCGTACGCTGTGCATGCATGCATGCATGTACGCATGTCTACGTACACATACGTACATGAGTACGTGTGGGTACGAATATAAAATTCCTGCATCATTCTTAAAGTATATATATTATATTATATCATATTATATTATATTATATTATATCATATTATATTATATTATATTATATTATATCATATTATAACATATTATATTATAACATATTATATTATATCATATTATATTATATCATATTATATTATATCATATTATATTATATCATATTATATTATATTATATTATATTATATTATATTATATTATATATACCTGTCTATGTAAATCGTCCTTTACTTGGTTGTACAGAGAGAGGTGGCCGTATACACCGATAAAGAGGACTTTGCAAAGGCGACTCCTCAGTTGCCCTTGTGCGGTGCGGCAGCCCGGAGCCCAGATGGAAAGTTGGACGTCCCTGCATTTGGTGGTGTGGGTTTAGGGTTTAGGGTTTAGGGTTTAGGGTTTAGGGTTTAGGGTTTAGGGTGGGTCTCCGGGGGGGGGGGGGATTTGTCTGTAGATTCAACTTCTACGTATACTGGCACCCTTTTCTTATTTGGCTGAGCTCAGCAGCCCATCAGCTGCCAACCAAGGCCATGACCATCTACTCGGACTTTGGGGTCACCGGCTTCAACCTTCCGCCTCCGCTGCGGGAGATTATGGACAGTGACTTCTTGGCGAGAGCCCTAGCAGATGGCATGGCAGAAGGTGCGAAGGCGATGATGACAGCCATGACCGGACCAGCGCAATGCGGCGGAAGCCACATGAGGTACGTAGTAAACAGAGCCGCAGATGTGGCTGCCAAAAAACTCAAGGGCCTTATTTCAGCCCTGGGCCTCCCTTGGCAATTCCCGCTGGTTCAGCTGCTAAACCCTCAGCGGCTGTTTTGCGCAGTGGTCTACACGATTCCAGCCGATAAAGACGAGTTCAACAGCCGGCCGTGTGCGCAAGACCTCGGGTGCAAGACCGCTGGCCAGGTGCCCCCGCCCCCTTCCGAGGAGGCTGCGACCGTGCCACCGGAAAATGTTCATCAGACCCCACAGCGGACCGAAGCGGCGCCGACGTGCCACAATCTCCCTATGGGTGATGGCTTCATCGAGCTTGGTGCGTTCCGCCTCGGGGTCACGGGACATGGACACCACGGCCATGAACGCCTGGTGATTGCGCACAGGGCCAGTAGCTTAGTTTCGGCGTTTAGCGTCCGTGGCATGGAATAGTCCTCGTGCAAGTGTTGTGAGCTCAACAGAACCAAGAATGGCCTGGTCCCGGTCTTCTGGACGGAACACGGACATGTTGAGCACGGTCCACACAAGTGGGATCACGGGCTTTGGACCCGGTGGAGCGATGCTCAGCCTTTGTGGCCGTTGCAGGGTCATGTCTCAGTCTCAAGGCATCTCCACTTGATTCGAGGCCTGTTCCGGGCGGAGCCGCTAACATCAAGTTTGGCTTCCAGTTTATCCAGATTGGAGACTTCCGCATCGGTGCTGTCGACGACCATCACTTCTCGATTGCGTTCCGGTGGCTGCACAGTGCGGGAGGGCCCAAAAACCAAAGACATCATCAGTGGCGCAATTCAGCACCATCACCGTCTGCTATATACCGTTCATCATGCAGCGGTGCTCTGTTCGCTGTCAAGACCCGTAGACCTGATGGGTTCTACACATGTCAAGCGGGCGTTCATCCCACAAGCGGAAGTATATATTGTCCAGTGAGGGTGAAGCATGAAGGGTCCGAGAACATGTGCTAGGGTTCGGCAAGCAGTGTCCAGACAAACACTGGAGTATATGCTGTGGAGTGAGGGTCAAAAAAAAGTTCTGTGGTTTGGCGTGCCCTGTCCATAAACACTGCAGCAATATGTTGTAGATTAGTGAGTGGGCGAGTGAGTGAGTGAAGTATGAGTCTTCCTGTGAAGGGTCCGCCTTCAGATTGAAGGCCCGACAGTACTAATAGCTCTGTCAAAAGCATAGCTGCATAGCTCTGTGGCAAAGGCACCGGCGCACGATGATGACCGCCGTGATCTACACAGCCGATGGTGTAACGCACCCGGGACACAACCATCGGAGGGCCTCTCGGTTCAGCTCTGAAGCCAAGGGAGCAAAGCTTCAGATCAAAGGGTTTCTCGTTGAGGCGTGAGCTCTGCCCCAAAGTAAGAAAGACATAAGCCCAGTTGGGGATGTAAACCTCCGTTTTATATCTGTCGAGGGGCTGAGTCACGCTGGCTTTCGGGTTCAGGGCTGATACTGCAGAACACCAGGTTGCGAAAAGCGGGGTTGCACTCAGTCTTAATTGCAATGCTTGAGGCCGTAGTTGCCTTCAATTCCGAGTGCACCTGGCTCCGTGGGTCCGTGTGAGTACTCACCGAGCCAAGAGACACACTTGAATTTGAGCTTCGTCTTGCGCGTCCATCTTGCCCCAGTTTGTTTCACAGGTCGTTCTAATCCTTTTCAATTCAATCTGTTCTATCCCGGTTTGGGGAGGAGAGCAAGGGAGTGGGGCCCCTGGCCCGCAACACACTGGTCCAATGAATGCAGTCTGCCACTGTCATCCATCATGAAGCAAAGCCCTGGTCGGCACCCTACTAAACCGTCTGGTGCTTAGTAGGGAATGGGGGACGGGGTTCCCTATGATAGTTCCCCTCAGGTCCCTTAAAGTAGTCCCTATATCCCATTCCCTCATTTCCTAAACCCTAAACCCTAAACCTTTCACCCCGTAGGAAGGAGGACCCGGGCCCGCTGATGCGGCACCGAGCCTCCGAAGCTCCACAGCCGAATTAACACTGTGCCACACACGCAGCAAATCATTCTCAGCGGAATAAGGCTTATTACCGAAATTCCGACAAAATTCATGAAGGGCCTTGACACTAGCATCCTGTACAACTGATTGCAACAACCGGAACATATCCTCCGGCTGCTCAAATAGAGGCCTCGTCACCAATCCTATTCTTGAAGTTCGACAGCCCATCGTGCGCAGCGCAAACACTTTGCCCCTACGCTCTGGCCAGACCGATATTCCAGACAGGCGTTCCAACTGACGCACCGCTTCGGAAAGGCTGTGCGTGAGTTGCCGCACCGTGGTAGGCACTGTCAGCAAAGGGTCACCAGTATCGTCGTTGTTTGATGGCACCACCAACCCATGAGGTGGGCACTGTCCGGTGGTGTAGACGAAGTGAACCAGCAGCTCGACATAAGTGACCCCAGGTGGGGCTCTTCCTGTAGTCAAACGTGGAGCCCATTTCAGTTGTCGCAGCCAACACCAGAGTGCCGCCGTGAAGTCCGGAGGCCAGCTGCACACCAACAACCACTCCCGTTGGTACTCCGGGACTTCCCATGACACATGAGGACCGGAGTTCAGTTGATGCCACGCGCCACATTGACCCTCGGGACGCGGACCATTGTCGAAGGATGGGAAGCTGGGCCAACAGCGAGCTTCAGCAGTTTGGCCTCTGCAAGTGACAGCTGCAACAAGTACGTCCAAAAGGAGCGTAGAAGCCCCCGCTGGTGTTCCAGAAAAGCCTGAGCACCATTAGCAGCATCAGTCACCAGTTCCATGTCCCGTTGGATGGCGGCCTTTGCCGCTACATCTGCAGCATCGTTCCCGGCAACAACCCATTGGTTCATACCAGACAACTTTGTGATATCCTGATGGGAGGAGACCCTTCGAAGAACAATGTCCTCGGAAAAGTAGCGCTGCAACCAATCACCAAGGTCAGGCCACGTGCCTTGTATGCCCTTGCCGGCCTTTTCCCATTCCGCGATAGCGAAGGCGCTGTCAGTCCATATTTCACACCGCGGGGCGCCGAGGTGGCGGGCAATCCGTACAGCCTGAAGAATCGCACAAACTTCAGCCCTGTTAATACTTTGCAAGCCCGGCACAAGTCCTTGGTGCACGATGCGGAACTCCGTAGGCGGCTGTCCGGTGGCACGCCATTTGGCCAGCAAAGTCGGCACACACTCATCAGCAGGGCTCGTATCAAGTATCACTGCGAAACCAGCATGTGAGGCATCCGGGTAAGCAGGGTGGCGGCATGAACCATCCGTGAAAAACCGAAGAAAAGCGGGCCCCTGTAGCAAAAGGCCACTCGAAATGTCAATCTCCGGGGGGAGCAGTGAGCGAGTAGCAAAATCAAGCGGTTTACTTCAAGATCCGGCGGCACAGCAGCATAAGGCGCCGGTATCCAGTATTGGTGATCCCGCCGGACGTCCTCAAGGACGGCAGCATGTTCTGCACGGATGTGCGCAAGCCTCTTGCAGTGCAGGAATTTGTGCTCCTTTGTCTGTTTCAAGCCACACAGAGGACACTCAGAAGGGAAATCGGGGTCCCAACTATAATTCGCGGCCGCCGAGGAAAAAGCCCCAGTAATGTGGCGGGCCAGGACTGTCTGCTAGCTGAGCCAAGAAGAAAAGTTCACGCAGGTACAACCTGAGTGTGGGCGGCGTGACTAGTGGCGCCGCTGTAGCAGGCCTCAGCAGTACGCTCATGAACTCTTCAGGCCGGGAGGGGATGGCATCGGTATCGGCAATCCATCCCAAGCACTCAAACAAGTGGTAAGGCAGGTGGACCCACCAATGGAGGGCGAAAGGCTGTGGCACCTCTATGCAAAGACATGGCGCGACTTCCGTGATGCGGCATGGTCGGTGTCCAGGGCAGGGGTGTGGAAGTGAATGTCGGCGGCGGAGCCCGCAACAAACGTACCGGTGGGAAGTCCTGCACCTCATTGAGCTTGGCCCCGAAGCAAGAAAGGCACACAACTCCGGGCTGGTCAGCCGTCCGGCACCTGTCAAATGCCCATTTCAACTGGTGGAAGAAAGTTGTGGTTGCAGGCTGCACCACCACTAGCCCAGCAGAGGTGCACAACTGGATGGGCTCTCCGCATTGAGCACGGACGCATGGGCAGGCATCAAACCTCAGCGGCCCCAACCCCTTTACCGTAACCGTGACCGTGGCACCCTGGCTCGCAGCCGAATCAGACCACCTGGGTTCGCCGATCAGCTCAAGCTGCAAAGCTTCAACTAGCGCGGACAAGGAAATCTGTGAAAAGAAATGCACACTGCGCAACTTGACAGGGGCGGTGGCATGTCTGGGCTGACACTCAATACAGAGTTCATGAAAAGTCAGCGGCAGCCGGTGCATGCGGGATTCAAGCTCATCGCGAAGGGACTGTCGGGCCAGGATTTTGCCCAGGTGCTGGCGTCCAACCATCAGCCATCCAAGCGGCAACTGGAACAAAGCAGAGTTCCCTGCATGCAGACGTGACTGTACGCAGCAGTGTACTGCGAAAGCAGGGTTAATGCTGCCGCAGCCGGGGAAGAACTGCACCGCATGTGCAAGCGTGAGCAATGCCTGCGGGACAGCAAGGCTGTTGCCTAAGATTCGCATGGAGGCAACATCATCGTGCAGCAGGAGCTGGGCTTGCTGTGCTCCATGACAGCTAGCAATCTCGGGTGCCGCAAAGAACCGAACCTCGTTTTCAAGCTGGGCCAGGCTACACAGGATCCCGCCGCGCTCAAGCATCCGTGGTGGCAGCAAGTGCTGCGTATGATAGCAGGCCATGAAGCACTTTGTTTGCTGCGACGGTGTGCGCATTCTGTACCGTCGTGCAGCTGCAACTGAGCTGCCATAACCCGGTGGCAAGTACCAAGGATCAGTATAAATCTGCAGCAACTCAGGACTCAAGACAGAGGCTGACTGAAGTTCACCCGGAAGTTCCTGAAATATAGCACGCATACCTCCGAGGCTGGGGCGGCGAATCGGTTGCCACACCGTTTGGCAAAACTTTGCAGCAACATCTTGTCCAATCGAGGAGTGCACAAAAATGAACATCCTCCTGGGGCGCCTAGTCGGGGAGACCTCGGCAAGTTGCAGAGAGGCCTCATACACTCGGCGGTAGCCTGCGTCCTGCCAGGCAAGCATAACTGCGGAGAAATCAGGGTGCTTGGCAAAACCCACAACCTCCTCCAGGCAAACCACGGGAACCCGTGCAACCCTCAAGATGGATGCGACATGCAAGGGCAGCCGGCCATCAGGATTTGACAGGCCACCTTGGGAGACTGAGTCGCTCCAGGGCTGACACGGCGGGGAGCATACTACAATCTGCGGTGGTGCAATGCCCCATATCTGATGCCACCATGCGTGCTCAATGTCAATATTGGCCTGGATAAGGATGGGGCCTTCCGCTGGGTCTGCCTCAAGTATGTCAGCAGCAGTTTTGGCAACCTGTATGTCCGGCATCATAGTACGCAGCGGGGCTTCTGTATCATCATCAATATCAAGCAACCAAGAAGATTGGACTTTAAGCCCCTGATCTGACAAGCACCATGCGGCTTGCGTCCAGCCCGCAAAACCCCCGCAGAAAAGCTCGGCGACTTTGACATTCTCGAAGCTCTGAAGCACCACATCCCCTGTGACAAAGGCATTCCCAACTGTAGCACCCAGGATAACAACATCTTGTTGCACCCTAACTTGTGTCCAAAGGGCCCGCAAGCAACGACACTTGCTAGCAACTAGGTTCCACACAGCATAGGGCATACGCAAAACAGCCATGTTGCATGGTTGGCAGATATCATCAACTCTGACACTCTCCTCGCGGATCTCCCCTTGGAGCTGTTGCAGGATCTTAACTCTGACAAGCACTGAGTCATGTGTTTCAACAGCAGGCCCGTCGGGCTGAAGTTCAAAACAAACACACTCACCATCAAGCTCCTGCAGGGAATTCTGCGCAAAGCTGAAGAGATTCTTGATCCCCGTCCACCAGTCAAAACTCATGGCTCTTAAGTGCGAACGCGGCACGATCTGCACCCCCCTTCCTGAGGGCAACGACCCTGGCTCTAGTAGCCTCGTGCCAGAGTGGCTCCTAAACCCTAAACCTTAAACCCTAACAAAGCACCGCACAGCAAATGGCCCGCTAAGGACTGGAATGTCCTTGACCGTCCCGAAGGACCTCCAGCTGGCCTGACATTCGGAGAACGGCGCCTGAGATTGGAACTTAAGACTTAAGGCTCTAAAACTGGTCTGAAGTGGAGTAGACTATAAGTGCAGAAAACCCTGCTGATGTTCGTAGGTTGGGGCTGTTAGGCTTCATCCTAGTCTGTTTATGCAGATGTAGTGAGGATTTGCAAAGCTTTTGCCCGAGGTTCGTGCAGTTCGGCAAATTCCGGATCGGCGATACGGACGGGCATCATTTCTACCTCATGAGTCCCCGCAAGCACTTTATCAGTCTCTTCCTCGGCGATGGCGGTGTAAACTCCTACCGTCCGGGCGTTGCTCATGAAGGCCTTCTTCGCCTGCAGCAGAACTTGCTGAGGGAACCTGTCGCTGACTGGACATGTCCGGACTTGGGGGAGCTGGCGCACGGAAACTGCTCTGCGAGCTGGGGAGGTTGGGGAGACAGGTTCCTTCAGCTCGGGAACTGGCGATTGGGTGCCCTTGACACTTCGGGATTTGTCACAAGAACGGCATGAACGCCCACATGTACAGGCACGATGGCACCGTGTTCCTTGCAAGACGTGACCCTCAACTTTGGAGAAGGCCGCTTGGTTTCCCCTACGGCATCACTTTCGGCAAGGACTTCATCCAAATTGGGAGTTTCCGCATCATGGCAGGGGACAAGGACCACCTGAGCATCTCCCATCCAGAGTTCATCGGTGTGAACTTCCGGGGATGGGACTCGTCGGTGTGGCTTGGCAAGGAAACCCACGACAGAGCGGCCTCGGAGAAGTGGAGCGGTTGGTGGGGACACCACGCGAATAAAGACAGCGCTGGGAGGGCCGGGCCTACACGTATCATGTATGGGGATCGGGTCTTACAAATCGGCAACTTCCGCATCGGGCAGATGGATTCGGGCGATGATCTGCTTCTCACGCATGTGGACGGCCATTTCAAACGCACAGTGAGCCGCTTCACCTCATCCGGGCAAGTTCACACGGGTGACCAGGACTACCACACATGGACAAGCCACATCGTCTACCGCCCGCTGCAGTACCACTGCAGCAGTTTGGAGGATGCTTGGTCTCTGGGCCTCAAAGCCCAGGTCTTAAATTCCTGCGCCCCCAGATTGACTCCTGACACCTTTGAAGCCGAAACCCTGTCAACGAGAGGACGTCATGGAGCTATGTCCTGGAATCACTGCAGGCAAGGATGGGACGGACAGAAACGTCCTTGGAACTTGATGAAGCTTAGTTAACATGACGGGTTTCGGGCCAACATTTTTGAGCTTTCTGCGGGAAGAAGAGACGAAGGTTCACAGCAATGCAGCTTCGAGAATCCGAAAGCCCTAGCGTCCTAAAGCCCGGAAGTTGTCGCAAGAAAGCCAGGCGACCGATTCCTTCAGATCGGTGACTTCCGGATTTCGCAAAGCATGCCCGGGGCGCTCTCCATCTCCCATCGATCCGGCCTCGTCTCCAAGGTTTCGGGCTTATAGGGTTTAGGGTTTTTGGGAGAGGATGATTTAGGGTTTAGGGTTTTAGGGAGCTCCAACAATCAGATGCAAGTCACAGCGATTTCTTGACCTTTCCCGGCCGACTCTCCGAGCCCGGATGCAAAAGGGTCTTAGGATGATTGTGCTGAATATGGTAGTTTACGGCTCTGCAGTTCTGCTCTGCTCAGCTTTCCCGTGCTGTCAAACAGACCAAGGTTTTCTTCTCCGACGGAAAGTTACAGACCAACCTCGGCGGACTAGGGCTTATGAAAGCAGACATGTGCTTCCATGGGTCTTCCGGGTCGGATCTGCATTTGTGCAAACCTACCACCGTCCGTTTGAAAATGAAAGCATCTAGCTTTTGTTCTCTGGACTGGGGGGCTTGAGACAAGCCGACGACGGCCTCTTCAACTGGATCGGTGGGAGCCTGGGCGCCGTGGAGGGTCATAAAGGGCCCGGCAGCCATGCCTCATGTTCGGATTGAGCTGTTGCCCCCTTACCGCCCTAACCGTTCTACCTTCTTCGCTCCTGAATGTCCGAGAAGGCCCGAACCGCCAACTTCCCTCGATTCCGAAAGTTGGCCGGAGGCTTCCAAGCCGAGGGAAGTCCAGTGATTGCCCCGAAGCCTGCAATTGCTCTTCTGCAAGAATGTGTGCACGCCTCTGGAAGTGTGTGTGTGTGTGTGGGTCAGTGAGACTCTACGCACTCGAATTTAGGGATGGTCCTTGTTACGATCATGGCTGCTATGTACTTCTTGCGTACGTGATTGCCTCGAGGAGACGCAAGCCGTCCTCACAACGCTTGGTGGAAGGAGGCGAGGGAACTTCACCATGCCGATGCCGGGAGTTTGAAGTTCGGAGATCGCTTTATTGAGATCGGTGATTTTCGCCTTGGCGCGGACGAGCACGAAGCGCAAGGCTACGACTCCGTGATCCTCACTCATAGGCACTTCGATGTCATACAGTTCTGGAATCACAATGGGGGGTTGGTGCCTGGAGCAAGCGTTGGAGCAAGGCATCATCCCCGAGGGACAGATATCTGGGATCGTCCGGTGGGACCTCCGAGGGGAGTAAGCTTTGGTGACCGCTTCGTGCAGATTGGCAATTACCGGTTTGGGGACTTCGATGGGCACCACTTCACCGTGGCCCACAAAGACGGTATCATCACCGAGATGTTTACCGGCTATGACGGGCTCCAGCACAACGGGCCGATTACCAAGTGGACAACGTTTGGCCGCCCGATGAGAGAATGCAAGGTGATGCCGCCGAGGCATCGCGTCCCCTAAGCAGGAGGGGCAATTTTAGGACATTTAACGGTCAGCAGGATGGTCTGTCTGGTGCTTAGTAGGGAATGGGGGAATGGGATATAGGGACTACTATAAGGGACCTATAAGGGACTATCACAGGGATCCATTCCCCCTTCCCTACTAAGCACCAGACAGTGGTGCGAGGCATTTTTTACATTTTAGGGGGCGATACCGTGGTTCGCGCCACTTCTCAAGCCTCCATGCTGGACTGAAAGCCTCACAACCACCCTTGCTGAACCTGCTTCCTTCTGAGGTTGCAGACCCGAAACTGCTTGAGTCCTGACGCAGGAAAAAGAACGTTTCCTGTCCCGGGTGGAAACTACAAGCCCATCACTATTGCCTGCTCAAGCATGCGCAGATATGTTCCCTTGACTTTGGCTCAAGGCTTAGGGCTCGGAGCAGTTGAAGATTTACGGTCCCTCTGTATGTAAAGT